TAAAAAAAAAAAAAAAAAAAAAACGTATACTGATACCTAAGTATACCCCTTTATATACAAAAAAGAAGAAAAGAAAAAGAAAAGAAAAGGAAAACACCCTTTTTCCTAATTACAGTCATATCCTGCCTCTTCAAATAAGCTTCCCCGAACTTGTACTACCGCCGACAGCTCTAAGAGGAATTCATAAAGAATCACTACATTCGTCAGTACATGACCAAGAGTTGCGACTGGGGCATCCTTGGCATCTTCTGAACCCGAGGCTCCCTCCTCGGCAGATGGAGGCTGTGGATCCGCGGGGGCAGGCGGGAACAGCGTGGCAAGGCGCTGGCGAAGAGCCTCAGCGGCCGCCGCCCGGGTGTTCGAGGAACCGCGCGAGTCAGAAGGAACGGAGGATCCGTCCCGATCCCGACTAGAAAATATAGAGGGCGAATTGACCGGGTACGGAGACCGGCCACGGGCACCTGGGGTAGAGGTATCTGATGAACCAGGATATGACGGGCGCGAGCGATTCGTTGAGGATGCTGGATGCTCAAAGGGGTCTCTTGATCGGTCCGGCGTCTGTGGGCGATCGTCCTGGTGCAAGAGTTCTCGTCGAGCAGCGACCAGTACATTGAAGTCGGGCAGTTCCCTTTGCCATTGTCGGACCTGGTTCACGAGTTGTTGGAGCGCTAATGTCAATGTCGGAGCAGCTGCGGCAGGCCAACTTGGTGCCTGGTAGGCCCGACGAATTTGCTCCAATCCATCGTCGGTTTCTTCAGAGGACGGGGCCTCGTACTGGTTGGGATCAACCAACACCCACCCATCCAGGGAAAAGAGATGTGAGGATGCCAGGCTCATGAACACACCTGTTAATGCTAAATTGACGATGACACTGTTGGTAAAAAAAGATTCAAGGCACCCAAGAAGGGCCTGCACTATGGGATCATCTTGTTGAAGCTGTAATGGTAGGGGTAGCGTCTCTTCGTTTTCCTCCATCGAGGAAACGGGCAGACACAGGCGGGATTCAAGCACACATGTGGCATCTGCAACATAGTTGTCATAGGACTCGTGCAGCGTGGGGTCATCGACGAGGGACGTTCCCATGACCAAAAGTCGCTCTAGCTCGGCATTCAAAGCGCCAATGGGGCGCTGATTTGCTGGCTGGGTAGGAATGGTATGGATCAGCGACCGTGCAAATAGATGATGTCTTTGAAGAACGGTATTCAAGAGCCGTAGTGTAGCCAACACCGTCTGGCAGTTCGATGACTGGAGTCCCAGTAGGGCCAAATCGCGAAGATTGAATAGTGACGGTGAGGGTTGAGCTGCTTCAGAGGCCAACGCAGCTAGCACATTGAGCGATTTCCGCCGGCTTGCGGACATGTCCATTTGCTCCTCGGGTTGAGGGGAAGACGCTAGCAAGAAATGTAAGATTCGATGGACCAATTCGCCTTGATCGATGGAGTCGAGGATGCGGCACATGTAGGTCAACACCGCTGCTGTCGAGCCACCAGCTACATCTGATGATTCTAACAAGGAGGGGTACCTGTAAGAGTCAGTAATGAGTCCATTCCAGAGAGCTAAGTGCATGCTCACAGAAGTTGCTCCAGAAACAGCACCTGGAAATGGTCTAGTAAGGTATCGTTCACTTCGGCAGATTTGCAATGGTCGATTGTATCCTGCCAAAATAACAAATAGGACATGAATGCATCCATTGCCTGACCTAGGATTGGCTGCAAACCGGTCTCTTCTTTGGCATGATCAGATAAAACAACAATGTGAGGGACATTATCGTCCTCGGTGGTAGGAGTAAACGACAAGCTTTATTCGATTAGTATACTGTCCCACGGCATCAAAGAACCAAACTTACTGTCCCAGCTGGCTGTAGAGTGCGCCCAGTCCGGTGGCCATAAGCGTAGCCAGGTCACTCTCGATCAGCCATTTCTCTAGATTTTTGGACCGCGATGCGGTTTCAATAAGGTAAAGCAACCCCGTCCGAGCAAAATCGCCGGCACGTCCTTCGTGGTGAACATAGTCCACCAGTAGGTAGAACAGAGGGAATTCGTCCTTCCTCGTAGCTCCTGCAAACTCCGTCCCACTTGGGGCTTGAGAATCGCTGTCCTGGGCGACGGGCGTTACCCGAGGCACAAACCACGCGGGCAGGATATCAGCCTGCAGACGAATGTTGTTGGCAATACCAAATAGCAATTCAACAAGTCGGCCCTCGATCTCATCCGAGGTCTTCTCGGCGCGGCGGACCAGATCCACCAACGCGCGGGCAAACAATCGATTGTCCACAACCCCATCTACCTCCGCATCGATCAGTGTGTTGAAGAATACCGTGGCTGAGCGGATGATGCCTTCATCGTGGAAGGAGAGGGCAAGCTTGGTCACTGTCACAAAGACCTGGGAAGATGCGGCATAGGCGACGCAGGGGTGCGGAGCGGGCCCGCGGGCTTCCTCGCTCAGAATCGAGTTGAGTCGCTCAACGTACGTCCGCGCGTGCGCAACAGATTGTTCGCCTGAAGGAGTATTTGTTGAACGCCATATTTGCTATCAATTGGGTTAGTTAGTGGCCTCGTGGAAGCGGACATAGTCGGTACCTGGAGGGCATTGCAGGCGCGCTTAAATGCAGTCAGCCGTTCCGTGGGCGAGGTGGCCTTCGAGGATTTGTTGGACAGCACGCGCGAGCCGCCGATAAGACGAGACCACTATATTCTATTAGTAGAGATTCATAGAGAAGTAAGGCGCACGTACGAAGTCCATTCTGTGAGGACAGCATGATCTCACGGAGTGAAAGTGACGGGGGGTCGAGGATGAGTGGAGACGGTGTTTATCGGGCTGATGTCCACTTCACAACTACAAACCATCAATTTCCAAGCATACACATACGTACTACATGCACATTCGAGATTTATACAGTTACGGCCATGCACATTCAAGTTCCGAAAAAGAAAGATGCCAGTCCAGGTCCTGTTCGTTGAATAAAAAGACCGTGCGTGAATGGGGGCTCGAGTCATTCGAGTCCCTAAAAAAGCGAAGGATATTCACAGATAAATGCGCTCCCAAATCTGCCTCCCACTATTTAAACGCCTAAAAGAAAAAGAACCGCCCATGAATATATGCGCCTAATACCCCATCCCATCTAACACGTCGTCAAATCATTTACGGGTCAACCTCAATCGCTCTCATCCTTTGGTCGCCGCCCGCCACGCTTACGGCGACCCTCATTCTGATCACTTCCGTCGTCTTCGTGTTTCCGGCCAGCGGGTTGATCAGGGACCTTCGCGATGATGTCAGCCAAGAAGTCAAGCACTTCATCCTTAGCGACGGCCTGTTTGAGATGGGAGGCCGTGACGCGCTTTGAGTTGCGATCCTTTGCTTCTTGTGCCGCCTTAGTGACGAGAGAGATCATAAAGAGTTCGAGAGCCTTGGCTATAAGAAATTGTCTGATTAGCATCTCTTACAAAGCATAGGTACACGCAAAGGGAAGCGCAAATGGCGTACGTACACACAGCAATCGGTGTCACTTGAGCAACCTTGCCGACATCCTCGTCGGCCTGCATGATGCGCTTGATGCGCGCCACGGGGAACTTGGTCTTTACTTCAATCCCCGCGCTTGCAGGCGCCGGTAGCATCTCTTCCTCCATCTCCGGCGCAACAGCGGGGACTGGCGCCATTGCGATGGGCTCTGCGATTGGTTGGATTACTTCGGGCATGGGCTGAATTGCTTCGGGCATAGGTTCGGGTATAGGGGCGTGGTCAGACTGAGCAAGACGGCTTGAACGACGGGCCATGTCCGAGTCTGGCTGATATGGTGGAACGTACTGCTGAGATACGCGACTTGGATTTGGGCGTTGGTACGGTTGGTATGAGTTGAAGAAGGGTGATGTGTAAGAGGTAATTGGACTCGCAAGCGCGTGTTGTTGAGGAGGAAGAGAGAGATCAGGAGAGCGAGGCCGATAATTGTCCTCTGTCATGGTCAAGAAAAAAAAATTAATAAAAAAAGAAATTAAGTGGAATCGCGAAAAAAAAGGTAGGTG